CGCTCGCTCTTCATTGTACTCAGAGCCTGCAGGGATGCATTCACGTGCATCCATTAGTTTGGAAGAAGCTGCTGATATCCACTGGCTCTTTTTAGCCATTATCTTGGAGTCGGCTACAGTCTCCAGTGCTGCTTTTACAGTAGACTGAAGATGGCACCAAGCTTCTTCTGGATGAGTGACAGTCTTTTGTTCCGATAACTGCCTAGCCAACTTCTCACTGAACACGGCTTTGGTGTTTTCGTTGTCCAGCAGAACTCGTAGTGGTTTTGTTGCCAAATTTTTTCTACGTCCATTGAGACGCAGGCATATACGTGCTCGGACCAACGCATGATCGCTGTCCAAACACGTACTCCAGAAGGAGCGGCAGTCTTCCACCGATCCTCTCCAGCGATGACTAATAGCAATGTGGTCTATCTGTGTCCATCGCTGAGTCGAGCTCGGTGGACGCCAGGTCAGACAGTGCCTTTCTTTATGTCTGAAATTTGTGCTGGCTAAAAATAGGCGGTTATCTGAGCATAGTTGTAATAGGCGATCACCGTTATCTGTACGTTCAGCTGGGATTCCGAAAGTGCCACCTAAGTGCCTTTCTGCCTCACTCAGTCTACCCACCTGTGCGTTGAGGTCACCTGCAACAACCACTACGTCCGAACGTTTGGCTTTCGAGAGGAGGTTAGACAGTTTATGGTAGAACTCGTCCTTCACTTCATCCGAACTACAGTCAGTGGGTGCGTAAGCAGAGATTACAAAGAGACAACGGCGAGTCTCACTATTCCTTTTAGTTCTCACTGTGCCGTTCAGCCTCATAGCGCAGAGGCGACTATCAACTGGGATCCAGTCTAGTAGTGAGTTTTCTGCCCTGGTGCTTAATGCTATACCTACACCTGCAAGACCACGAGAGCTAGCTATCGAATCTCCAGAAACTCGAAGGGTGAATTTTGGATTCACCAGATTGGTCAGGAGAGGTCAGGTGAATAACCACACTTGGGTCCTGTATGCGTGTCTCACAAACACAGCACACATCCATGCCCGAGTTGCTAGAGTCTTTGCCAACGAAGCCTGTTGGCCAATTTGACGGAGGGTGCGGACATTGAAGGCTCCAATATGTAATTTGGAGCGTGGTTTAAGGAGACCAGGGATACTGTTCTGTGGACTCAGATCGTTGTCGAAGGCTGCAGAGGTAGGAGAAATTGAAGATGATGCAGCATCATTAATTAAGAGACGTGAAGGAAGATTAGAAGGTAATGATGGAGGAGGAGGATAGCAGTCAGAAGAAACTTGGGTGCTGACAGAGTTGTGAGGGCGGTTGACACTTCCCGGCTGCCCACACCGTGGAAGGCTATTTCTTCTTAAGGTACCTGAAAGAGATTTGTGTGACCGCAGAGCCCATCGGACATCTGCTTGAGGCCTGTCACACCCAGCCTTTTGAGTATGATTATTTTGAACCTAGCCTGGTTAACTAGTTCACTAGTTACTAGCCGGTCCTAAGCCCGGGTAAAGAGGGAAGGTTGGGCATAGGGCTAGCAACCCTACCCCGTAAAACAAATCTAACCGCTAAACAAACTTCAAAGCACAAACAAAATATAAAAAATGAAAACAAACTTATTCCCCGCTGGAATCGGAGAGGCGAAATGACGCCAGTTGGTGAAAGCCTTCGGGAAGCCAATTGGCCGATGTGTCTTCTCTCCTCTCGATGAAAGCGAAAGTAAACGTGGGGAAATGGAATGTCCGCACGATGTTTGAACCCAGTAAGGCAGCCCAGATTGCAAAGGAGATGAGAAGGTATAACATCGAAGTGCTTGGGATTTGCGAAAGCAGATGGAATGGGAGTGGACTCTCCAAACTGTCAACTGGAGAATCAATAATCTACACCGATGTTGTCACCCAGACGCCAACCACGAGCACACTGAGGGAGTGGCTATCATGATGTCCTCAAGAGCATCGAAGGCTCTCATGCAGTGGGAACCAATCTCCTCCAGGATCATGACAGCAAGATTCAACTCAAAAGGAAGAAAGGTCACAATCATACAATGTTATGCACCTACAAATAATGCAGAGCAAGAGAAAAAGGAGGAATTCTACAGACAACTTCAATCAACACTGGACAAGACGTCAGTTGGCGATATCAAAATTCTAATGGGTGACATGAATGCCAAACTGGGAGGGGACAACACAGGAAGAGAACTAACAATGGGTCGAGAGGCGCTAGGTGAGGTGATGAAAGAGAATGGAGAATTGTTTGCAGAATTCTGTGCATTCAACGATTTGGTGATTGGAGGCAGTGTGTTCAAGCACAAGGATATCCACAAAGCGACGTGGATTTCACCAGACACCAGGACACACTAAAATCAAATCGACTTTATCTCAATCTCAAGAAAATGGAGACGCAGTCTACTTAACACAAGGTCAAGAAGAGGAGCAGATGTAGGTTCAGACCACTATCTAGTGCAAGGAACCTAACTTCCAAATCAAGTTAAAAGCCTTCAAGGAAGCTGGTGATCTCAATTCAAGTACAACACTCGGAAACTGAAGGATGAAACTACAAAGCAGATCTTCACGACAGTCAGCCATCAAGACAAAATGGGGGATATCGAGGAACATTCCTGAAGAAACCTGTGTGGAAGAACACTGGAAGTCTTTGAAAGCTATGTGGAAAGAAACCTGCACAATAGTATTAGGAAGGAAGAGGAAAGGGGAAGACAAGGAATGGATCTCGACGGATACCTGGAAGCTGATAGAGGAGAGGAGGATGGTGAAGCAGAAGATAAACCAGTGCAAGGATGCTCAACGACAAGAGGAACTGAGCACAATGTATAAAACACTGAACAAAGAAGTAAAGAAGAGTGCACGCAAAGACAAAAGACACTTCTACGAAACACTGGCAAGTGAAGCAGAACAGGCTGCAGGTAAGAGAGACCTGACGACATTGTATCAAATAACCAGGTTGCTATCTGGAAAGAGATCAACACAGATGAAACCAATAAAAGATGAAGAAGGAAATTTAATTACGAAAGAAGAAAACAGAGGAAACGATGGGCCGACAACTTCAAGAAGCTCTTGAATCGACCACCACCTGCACTTCGTCCTGCAGCCCAGCCACAGAACTACAAGTGAACATAAATCCTCCAACAAAAATGGAAGTCCTGAACGCCATAAAGCTACTGAAATGTGGGAAAGCAGCAGGACCAGATGGAATACCGCCAGAAGCACTGAGAACAGATGCAGAGACAACAGCAGACATGCTCACACCACTATTGCAGAAGGTGTGGAAGGAAGAGAAGGTACCTGACGATTGGAAGAAGGGTTACCTTGTCAAACCGCCGAAGAGGGGAGACCTCAGTGCTTGCAAGAACTGGTGCGGAATCACTCTCCTGTTCACCCCAAGTAAAATATTAAGCCGCATCATCCTAGAGAGGCTTAAAGATGCACTGGATTCAAAACTGCGACCGGAACAGGCAGGCTTCAGGAAGTACAAATCATGTGCAGACCAAATTGCAACGCTTCGTATCATCATAGAACAGAGCGTAGAATGGCAATCAGCTCTATACCTCAACTTCATCGACTTCGAGAAGGCCTTTGACAGCGTCGACCGAGAAGTAATTTGGAAACTGCTTCAATACTACGGAGTACCGCAAACCTTTATCCGCCTCATTCAACAACTATATGAAGATGCCACATGCCAAGTAATCCACAATGGGAAGCTGAGTGATGCTTTTGAAGTGAAGACAGGAGTGAAACAAGGTTGCCTACTATCCCCCATGATATTCCTGATTGTGGTCAACTGGATCATGCAGCAAACAGTAGGCAGCGAGAAGAGGGGGATACGCTGGACTGTGGAAAAGAACCTAGAAGACTTGGATTTCGCCGATGACTTATGCCTAATGTCACATAAACTTGAAGATCTACAGGCAAAAACTAACAAGTTGATAGAAGAGGCAGCGAAGACGGGACTTCAGGTGAATATAGAGAAGACAGAAGTGATGAAGATACCGCACCACCACCATCAACAACAACAACAACAACAAACTCCAATCACCGTCAACGGGAGAAACTTAAAGGAAGTAACCTCCTTCACTTATCTAGGAAGCACTATTTCAACTACAGGCGGGACGGACGAGGACGTCAAAGTCAGAATCGGAAAAGCAAGACAGGCCTTCATTAGCCTGAAACCAGTGTGGAGATCTTCTGCACTCAGCATGCGGAACAAGATACGGATTTTCAACACCAACGTCAAGTCAGTGCTCTTGTATGGTTCAGAGACTTGGCGCGTCACGAAAGGGATTTCCAATAAACTACAGACATTCATCAACAACTGCTTACGCTCGCTGCTGAAGATCAGATGGCCAGAAAGAATAAGCAACAAGGAACTCTGGCTCGGAACGAACCAACCAAGAACCTATCACACAACAAATATGCAGGAAGAAGTGGAGATGGATTGGCCATGCACTGAGAAGGCCGACTGAGGACATCACGCGTCAGGCCCTCGAGTGGAATCCCCATGGGAAGCGACGAGTTGGACGTCCGAGGGTGACATGGAGGAGGTCATGCGAGGAGGAAATGAGAGCTTGTGGGCTGTCGTGGAACCAGGTTCAAAAGATCTCAGAGAACAGAGGTCACTGGAGGCGTGCTACTGAAGCCCTATGTTCCACTAGGAACCCAAGGGACTAATAATAATAATAATTTGCAATGCAGACTAATATACAAAGGTATTGAAAGAAAGAATTTCAGAAAACACAAATAAGGTGCTTTACAATCTCATATATTAATGGGAGCTTGTGAGTTCGATAGCCATAATCAAAAACACACCAACGGAGATTAACTAAAAAGTTTGAGACCGGAAAGCAGACAACTCGCAAGTTTGTAAACGAAAGGTGAATTCCTAATTTTATTTCAGAACATGTAGTCTGGGTTGTAAAAAGTACAGTAGGTTGATCAATTTTTAAAGATATCTGTAAGTTTAGTGATTATGTTGTCCAACTTGTAGGATTGCAACATTGCTGAAACTAACTTGTCCTGCGTGGATTTCCTGCACCAGAGATTCGACCCACAGGTCCATTGCCCATGCTACCTCGACCACCCCGACCACCACCACGAGCAGATCCACCAAAACCTCTGGAAGCATTTCCTCTTGAAGACACACGATTCTAAATAAAAACATTTTTTTAAAAAATGCAAAGTAGGCACAAGTGAGTGCAAGTTGGTATGCCTTAAAGTGCCAAACCACCACTACTTCCCATGTTATAACTAATGACAATTACTTTCAGGTTTCTATCGTCAGAAAAAGCGGACCTGAATCCCAACCAGATTTTGATTTCACCTCAATTACGGAGTGAGATAATCGATTACGGATTGACTTTAAATTTAGCACTGTGAAATACATCTATCTATACATTTTATTAACTACAGTGCTCAAATCCCAGTTTTTGCTACATACTTTGAAACAGGCATACCGCTTAAGGAATGAGGTTGATGACAAACAGATAATTCACAGTAGAACAAGGTCATCATTGTAGTAACATACTAAGATGTAGTGAAAAAAGGAATGATATTAAAATCAATAAGAAAGGGTCTAGAAAGAGGAAGAATAAAAAGATGAAAGTGACAAATTCAAAAGCCACCTAGATCTGGAGAACAGACTACTCAATATGCGTCATTGTTCTAGATTTAAAACCATGTAAACGACGCTGTAATTTATTGCAACGAGATTGGTGGAACCAACTCTCAGAATGGTTACCAATGTTGGTTCGTTGATATGGGATTCTACAGACACTAACAAGATTGTTATTCAGTGACTTGTCTACATTAATAAAGAACTAGTTACATAACAGGCAAAACATGTGCACATACCCTTTCGCAAATGTAAAATTGTCCCAAATGTCAATTATCACTCTCAGTCCATCGTCAACACGATGCTTAACAGGTAGACACATTCTGACAAAACTATTTTGCTTTATAAAATTTGCCACCTGTGTGAATTTAAGTACAGCATGAATAATATGCTTGGTAGCATACAGGGGATCCACTAAATTTTGTCTTTCCTTTAACTTCATATACGTTAAAGAATGTGACTAAAAGTGATCTACACCCTTTAATGATCATGAAGAAGACCTCAATTGGCGAAAGAGCACGGGAGGAAATTGTAAATTATGTATGTAAACGAAATGACTGACATGTACCACTTAAAGTACATATGGTTATAGTAACGATATATACGAGGTGGCTGTCGTGCCCCAGTGGCTTAGTGGTTAACGCTCTGGCGTTTGAAGCGAAGGGTAGGTGGTTCGAACCCAGGTGGGAACACCATCAATCACTGGGGTGCAGGTATGTCCAGCCGAGTCCCGAATAGGACGAAACGCGCATCCCGGGTTCCCCTGCTAGTCACCAAGATCAATGTGTATGGTAAAGTTGCTGGTGCAACATCTGAAAAAACAAAACCTTGGCCTAATTTAAAGAGGTGATAGTCATTCAAAGAACTAAACCCGTCTTATTCTCAAATCGGGGCGGCTACTATAACCTTTTCTTTTCATGGTAGATATAACTTAATTTTGTGGAGCGGTAGCTCACTGATCTAAGGATTGCTTTTCCAGTCGACGAGTTACAGGCTTCAATCCAGCTCTACCTCCTGAGGTGTGGGCAGCCAGGTAGTAAGACTAGCCCTCACACAAGTGTGGCTCATTGCCTACTGCACGAATGTGCGCAGGGTTGCTGGGTGGATATATATCGGGTTTCATTTTAAACAGTAAGCCTTTCCCAAATTATTTGCCTACAGTGCAATTTCATGAAGAATATTTCAGTAAGTCTTTTGACCTAAAACGTATTTGACATCCGCTCACTCGAGTTTATCCTGGTATTTAGGCTACCCATCCCATTAAGTTGCGTTACCTGCCGTATTACATTCCTAGATTTCTTAGATGTATCCCAGAAACGAGAGTGGTGCATTAATGTGGAATCATCTACTTAAAATTTAATGAACTTTCTTATTTCATGTACTGTATTGTTCTTAATTGTTGTCAACTATATTACTTCTGATAGTCATAGTATTCAAATTGCATGCACCCAAATACGCTCGTATCGTTTAGTCTTCACATACCTGAAGCGAAAAAACCCAGGTAAAACTAATTCATTGAAGGCTATAAAAATACGCTTTTTAAGGCTTGCTGAAACTAGTATGCAGAACATTACAAACAGAAATATGCACTTACATCTTGGGCATAGTTCATCTCAGAAATGCCTCGTGAGTCTGCTTGTTGACGAGGACCCATACTGCGTATTCTAGAAAACAAACAACAAGATATTCACAGCTTTTATGAGAACAAGTAATACAAACTAAAAGATGCTAAGTTCACTAACTGTTATGTTCCTGAGTATGTAGATAGTGCTCACGCTTTTAATCGACGTCTAACCATAGACCACTGATTCTAACACCCCAGATGAAATAGAGAAGGGAGGTAGATTGGTCCGATGAGAGCCTTTACTACCTCAGAGAAGACTGATAATAACCTGAAATGTACTAAGAGAATGCAAAATCTTAGTCTGTATGGCTGTGGATCTACGTACAGACTGGCGTAATCTAGTATCGGTGATACATCACAGGGGCATGTCAAATAGAATAAAACTACGAGAACACACATTTAACCGAAAAGTTTGAGAGCGAAATACTGAAAACTAACGACTGAAGAAGAGGATCTCAACATTTCGTTAACCAATGAACGTCAAGACAAGTAGCAAAGTACTATACCATAAACATACTCCAGACTTCGTCAGTAACAACCTATTATGACTGATGCAAATTCTCAAAGGAAGGGATCAACACCGGTTTCCATAAATAAGCAGTTTAGTCCACTATCATGGGAAATTTCAATGTATCCTGTTTTCTTGAAATATCTAACAATCAAAACAGCATTAATTGTGAGGACCATGCTCTACTGTTTTCCTTTGACCATCATAAAAAGTTAGTGCCGGTGTTCACGCCAGTGTAGTAATGGGAAGCAACCTAACGCCTATCACGAAACTGAGTCAGAATTTTCTATAGAAAGTAGGCAATCAGATAGCCTTACATACATTGATAAAAAGTCACTAATTGTCAGTCAACTAGGCAATTTCCTATATATGGTGTCTTTTCATACTATTTTGATTTCCATTTTTTATGAATAAGCAACAGCAGATGCATCCACATATTATGATCATCATACCAGGTTGGAACAAATTCATGGTAAACAAACAGTCAAAACTAACATAAAACGCTGCACAGAAATGCATCGGCTCAGGTTGCAGCACGAAGGGTAGAAGAGGATAGAAAATACCGGCAAAGTAAACATTATATGGGGGAAACTATCTGAAAAACGAAGTGATCATATTTTAATTTGAGAACACGTCAAACAGTAAATATATCAGCGCCAGATTTTCAGCCATGTCACTAAAGGACTCCAACTACACACACTGCTATAATCTCAAGCACCCTCAACCAGTTAGTCTATACCTCCCCCTAAGTGGTTCAGACCAATGGTCAGACTTCATGGACTGCTGTTATTGCCTTGTTCTTGCCACCCTACACTTTTATTCAACTTAATCCTACTCCAGCGAGCATTGCAGGTTGGGGTAGGCAGTAGCACTCATCTGCAACACATATCTGAGCCCTCTCAATCACTGAGGGTTTGCAACCTTATAGGCTGACTAATGTCTTGCTCGATACCCTTCGCTTAACTTTTACGTAGCTCTCAGTGATCCCGTTGAAAGTGAGTAATACTGAGAAGACACCTAAGGTAGAAGACGTATAAACTCTTCGCATCTACTTACAATGACTGTTTTGTAGCTAAATAACAGGACAGAGCAGACTGCAGCACAGGTAGTCAAAAACATCTCCAGTGTCAGAGATAACACTAGTTAGCAGACGCCAAACCAAACTCATGCATCCGTGGTGGGGTTGCCATAAACCACTTTATTTGGGCTGATGCAAACTTTTACGCAAGTAGGTGGTCAACTGATTTCTCCACTTAAGTCTCTATTTTCAAATTGAAAGCTGTACACCAGTCCTGACGCGTCATCACGTTCGACGTGTGCAAAACGCATGTCAGACATACTCAGGTTTTTGTTCAATGCTTTTAGAAGTGTTTTGTCAACATATACGCCTAACAGGACAGTGTCAATTGCATACACAGTCGACTAAAAGCCCCGCATTGCCCTCCATGATGTCGGAGGTAACCAAGGTTATATTTATATCTATAACGATGTTGGATAGGAACGGTGACAGTGGACATCATTGGGGGACACCACTGGTCGCCGTCGATTTAGAGAACCCCCCATATGCTATCACATGGCTGTCTGAATAGAGAGCCTCGGTCAGCATAATATACTTATTTAGGACTCCCTTCACAATTCAGACACAGCCGAAGAATCTCAAGATCGACAGTGTCAGAAATTATGGCATATCGGGCACCGATAATTATCCTTTTGTCCCAAAACCTGTCAAAAAGTAGGTGAATATCCGATTGACCTACTCCTATCCAGGTCTAAAAACCTGCCAAGTTTGCTGCTCTCGTGCTACCATTAGGTGTCGGATACACGCTGACTCAATGACTTGGACATCCCGTTAGTCAGACTGAGTCCCTTATGCCTGTCATAGGACCTTTTTACTTTATACACTGGAATCGTCAGTAAAGTAGGCCAATCCGATGAGACAACGTTTGATTTCCATAGGCTACTTAGTATCTCCGTTACTCCACTAGGTGATTCGCCACCTCCCTCAAAAAGTGCTGGTGGCAAACCATTAGATTTTGCTGCTTTGAATCAAGTTCAAAACAATCTTTTTAACTTTGAGGACAGTTGTAGGACTGAAATTTACGTTCAATCTAGACTTGAACTGGATATCTGAAGCATTATTTTAGGTCAGCTGAACTGCTCTTCGAAGTGTTCTACCCTGAAAGGTTATCAGGGACTCTGCGGTGACGGTCTCACCAATAATCGCCTTCTTTTCGCCAGAATTCTTAATAAGCCTAAATAATTGCCGCGTATACCCGAAGGCTGATGACTTTTTACCTTTGCTACCCAACTCTACCAGTCATTATACGAAGACTCTTAGTCACCTTGTTTGTGCAGCTCCCACTAATCAATGTGATCAGAACCAGCTAGAATGTGCCTCTCTCATTAATCAGTTCGGATAAGGGTGTGGAAATACCCTTTATTCGCCAACTTTTGGATGCAGTTTATCGACTGTCTCTATCGCTGTTTCTATTGCACGGAATACAATGAGAAGAGGAAGAGGATTGCAGTAATATTTAGATAAATGATTTCCAATCGCCCTAGATACACACACGTTATATTCCGGTGGAGCACATAAATACATGACACCCGGATATCTTTATGAAGGTCGCCAGTCAACATTTTACTTCTCAAATGCGCACCTCGAAATTTGCAGACGGCTAGTGTACTGCCGTTTCTACGGGAAACACTAGTTTTAGAGTAGTTGACTGCAACTTCAGAAAATCAACTGACACCAGTTTTCTCCAACTTGAAGTAACACTAGCCTGAACACTTTGAAATCAGTTTCGACAGCATCTTCACTGCGGTATTTCCTTTTATAAAATGGAAATACTATATATTTGTACGAAAGCCGTCTCCATAATCTCAACCCCTTACCCTAAGGGTTTTAGGTAGTTTTTTTGTTTCGTATTTTTGGTTTGGACTTGATATTTTGATGGAACTGTATGTCTAGCGTCCGTCTGTTTTGAGGTTTATTAAGCTAAAAGGCAACTACTAGAATATTTTCATAGAATATGAATTCGACAAGATGCCTTACTTGTCAGGTAGTCCTCTGAATAAAAGTTGTCAAAGAACTATCAGCTAACATAACGGTATATTAAAATTAGACATATTAATAACATAGACATGAAAGATGCACATATTCAAACTTAAATCAAGTGTAATCAGAGTCTAAATGGACGCCAAACTATCAGCAGAATTCCCCAAAAGCACTTACACTACGATACAAACCAACGCAAAACTCCACGGAAGTGCATTAGTTTAGGCTGTCGAAATCCACGATTACGCAAACAGAAGAGGTGGATGAACTTATCGAAAGAATACCATTAGTTCATATAGACTCAGATACAGAATCTTAATATACGATTATGACTACAAAACTTAGTGATACACAAATTCCGTAGACCTATCAGGCAATGTAAAACCGACCCATTTACTTTAAACTATGTGATTATGATAGCAACTTATGCCCACCCCATATAACGAAGAGGCAGGGGAATCTGTGGATATTTGGATCTGACTGTCATTCTGTAAGTCTGCTGCTTCTAAGCTTATTTTAGGTTATGCGAAAAGTAGCGTTTCTATTGTTTTTAATGGGTTGGACTTCATTCTTCTATCCAGATACACATTCAAATCAACGTATGGCTATTGTCTAAACACATTCTTCAGAATGAGCGGCAGTTTTCTACTGTTTCTTCAGCAATAACTGATAGCAAATGGTTGGCCTTTGTCCACCTCTGAGTTGAGGTCGGTTGACGCCACACCATACAGTATCTCCTTACGTTTGAAGTTTGAGATGACCAGCGAGAAATAAATGGTCTAGGCACAGTAACATCAGATCGCCCGTATTTTACTGGAACTTAGTTAACTATCTTGTGACAAATAGACAAAATTATCCTAAGCATTTGATAGGGAGAACCATTTTGACCAACTTACGACCATGAGGAGCCTAATAGCACCCGGAAACTATACACAACCAATCTCTTATATAAGTCCACGTTTGCCTGAAAACCCGTCGTGTCTAAGGTAAATGCTAACTCAAAATGATAAGTTCGATATGTGACACAACCCGAAGAACACAGAACGGAAGAGCAACAGTTTCTGAACCCAATTACCTTACCAAAGGGATGAATGTGGCACCTGCAAAGTGGTCATTTGTGAGCTCAAGTCAAAGCAAGGTTTCCGTACGATTAGGGCAATTTACCCCCAGTTCATCCTGCCTTGCAAATGACTTTGTGCTAACCCATATACGTAACTGGAGTAGAAGCAACAAATGTCCAATAGTTGGGGATGTGAGTGCTCCGCATATAAACTGGGCGGAGCTAGCAGACATAGCCTCGGGCAGTTCCTTCGGGAATGATTTTCTTTTAACGGCACTACAATCTGCTTTAGCGCAAAACGCAACTCGTGCAACACGATATGATTTTGAACACAAGACAGCGTCTTATGATTTAGTTTCAACTCACCAATGTGATGATATCATGGACCTACGATACTTCCCTCCGTTAACTAACGGCGAGGTTGTAGTGCTTACATTCGGTTTTTGAACGTGAGTTTGGTTACGACACTGCTTCTCTTAGACCTAATGTTTGGCGCGCAGACATTCCATGTATAAGGGATTGCGCAATCGGAGAGGGTTAGACCATAGACAAGGACATCAATCGGGAACGCATAGGATAGGTTTAGAACTATAGTTGAAGAGGTAGACGCCAGTTATCCCATGGTCAACTCGACGAAGATCCTCATATTGACCTCCATGGTTGAGTAAAGACACTCAGAAACTATTAAAATGTAGGAAAAGTTTATGGGACTTGTTTATAGAAACTGCCGAAATTTAAAACTGGGTACTGTGAAGTCCATAAACTGTGCAAAACTTTGACTACAGTCACGAACGTCGTACAAGAAACAGCTTGTAAATTATTGTTAAAAGCGTTCTAAAAGACTGTTGGCATTCATTAGGACTAAAAGAAAATGTGAAATCCCCTCTGTGGTAACGGATGGAAAGTCTGGTAGTCTGGCGAAACCTAATTCGACTACTGGATTACTTTAGTTAAGTCTTCCCTGTACATCACGACGAAGTGCTCAATGGTGTCAGCACTTACCTACTGATAGATAGTGTTCATAACAAAGGAAAGTCCTACAGTAGCTCATTAATCTTAAACCTGGAAAATCCCCGGGTCCTGACGAGTTGCACCGCAGACCTCTGGAGTACATTGATGCTGAGACAGTCATTGATGTTTTCAGTATGTCCATATTTTAGACTCGCCACCCTAGAGACTGGAAAGATGCTATAATCAGCCGGGTTTTTAAGGCCAGTAACCGCCAGTTGGTGGCCACCCATTGCTCTGAGTCTAACTAGTTATTAAGGTTTAGAAAAAATAATTCGTGATAAGGTACCTAACCATGTTGGCACAACAACACGGTTTTCGTGCTGGACACTTTTTTTAAACAAATATCCTCATCGTGAGGAGGAATGGGTTGCAGCCCGTGATGGCAACTTGCCATTAGATCCTGTGTTGATAGACTTCAGCAGGGCATTCAATACAGTGAAACTACTAGAAAAGCTCTCATCTTTTGGGTTTGGTGCTGCAGTTCGAACCTGGATTAGACACTTCATGTACGACAGAAGGCAGAGTGGGGGTTAACGAGGTTATTCGCGTGGAAACCTGTGATGGAGTTCTGAAGAGACAATCCTAGGCCTACTACTTTTCTTGTTATATGTAAACGAATTACCACAAATGCTCTACTCTTTGGTGGCGCTATTCGCCGAGGATGTAAATGTTTGGAAAGCCACACGAAGTGATCCTGATAGGTACGTAATTCAGGCGGATTTGGATGAAAAGTAGGTTGGTCCGAACTTTGGTGCCTGGAAATCAACTCTAATAAAAGTGCAACAATGTTCATTGGTCACAGCAATTGTTCCCAGTATTCCGTTAGTGATACACCACTACTCCTAGTCTTGGCACTGAAGTACTTAGGTGTCATCATAAGCCATGATTTGAAAACCTCGGAAACTGTATGCAGGTGCAGTAAAGGCCTTCCGTGTATTATAGTCTATCCGCAAGGCATCCAAATGTTTTGATCAGGATATGTTCAGAATAATATATTTTACTTATGTTAGACCTCACTTGGAATACTGCATTTAGGCAGCCAACCTATGTCTATAAAAGGATGCTGTCGTACTCGAATGTGCTCAAAGGGTTGGTACTAAGCTTGTGACAGGCCTTTCGGATCTGTCCTATGAAGAACGACTAGATCGGCTATACTTAATTCGACTGTCACTGTAGAAAACGCGATGATCTCATACTAGCATTTCGTATACTTAATAACGACTTAGGTACTGATATATCCTCTTTTTTCCATGCTAGGATTGGCTATCTCCAACAGTGTCACAAGAAAATCCAAAAACTGCGATCGAATCAACTTGACGCAAATCTGCGTTCCTCCTATCGTGTAGTCAACCACTGGGACTCCTTACCTCAGTAAGTAGCATCAGCACCTGTCAACGAGTTTAAGGAGAAACTAGATCTCCGCACAGGTATTTTCTGCAAGGATTAACACAGGCCTACTGTCCTTAGAACTGAAAACTGTCAAAATTTTCAACCACTGCATTATCTTATGGATGACAGCAGGTGAACTCCTCGGGATACAAAGCAATTTTAACATACCTTTGAGGACCATCTGTATTGGTTGATTGTCGCAAACCCGACCTGTGCTGCTCTTCTGCAACCTCATACTCGGAAACGTTAGTATTACTCCTTACACCTTTAGGTATTTGCGCATTCAAAACAGATTGAGAAAGCTGCTTAGATGCCATTTGCGCCCAACTGCGAGGACCAGACTGAACGGGTTGCAGTGGCGGGGAACTAGCAGGGTGAGACTGATGTACAATTTCTTGTTGAACAGATAGTGCAACAGATGGATGTGGTACCACATGATCCACAGGCAGCTGATCATGTTTCATTTCTGAGTCATGTGTTTGGACTTCATCGACAGCTTGTTTGTAATTCTCTTCACGTGTAGTTTCCCAACTGTGTGTATGATCCTGTACGAAAACATGTATTAGCTGAACAAGTTCGCTTACCTCTCTGGTCGTATGAGACATAGGGCAACGTGAAACATTTTCAGATGGACAATAATCGTTGGTTTTCGCCAAATGGTCACCTTCAATAGAAATTTTGATTGAGACATGAACTCACTATCGGTTTCCGCGTTATTTTTCAAGTCTCCATATACATAATCTTGGTACCGAAATATGTCATTTAACACATAGAAGTCACACGGTGACTGTTCTCTCAGAATAAAACACTGAGTAAATCGCCGAAACTCCTCGTTGGCGATGCTTATTTCTCCAGCCACCTGCGCACAATAAGACAGCAGAAGAAACTTACGTGAATTAGTACACTGTTGCCATTGGCTCTCAATGCATCTAGTTTGAGTATCGCGATTTGTGAGCCCTGAAGGTTCAAGCTCATGATCTTTTCATGAATCATTCTCTGACCGCAAACTGGAGTATCTTCTCGTATCATGGATGAATCATCTTTGTAGAAACGGTGGATGCCAGATGGACACTTTTTCATGACAGTGTAATATTGCACAACAAACTGTCCAGCGAGACTTAAAATATCTGATGGTTCCATCCGCACAACAGTAAATCCGGAATCTGGGCTGGCACTATTCTCGACGACAGAAACCATATTTGTATAACAAATTAGGACGTAATCTACACAACCACAATCACGACGCAAACCCAGAGTTAGGCGCTTGAATCTTCAGTGTAATAAAACAAAATCTTTGTGGAGAAGCCGAGAAAGGGAAATGGTTTGAAGCATATGTTGGGGAGAAGATTATTCAGAGCGTTGAGGCTCAACGTAATTCAGTTATGAAGCTTTCCCTAGACCAATATCCAATATATCCAATATTGATAGTGCGAGCGTAGAAAACTGGTAGTTTTTGATCTCTCGCGTCTAGTTCTTAGGGCTTGGTTCCAGTTGTTCGGTTTACTCCTGCAGTGGACGAGGAAATACCCTCTGCTTCCTGCTTTTAGTCGGTGAGGTGGATGTTTTGTGGGTTACTAGGTTGTAATTTGTAGAGTGATTAGGGAGCTACGGGTTGCTGGGAAGTTTAGAGAACTGCCGTGACCAGATGCAGACCAGATTAATTAATTAATCGTATCTCTATCCTTTCAGGTTTTTCAGAACCGAGAAGATAACTGTGAACATTCCAAACTCAGAACGTATTCCAATAAGACAGACGTAAGACCCAAGGAACCGCAGTTCACTAATTCTGCAACACGAAGTTTGAAGTTTGAAGGTGTCTACGGACAACTTTTCTAACTGCCTGTGGAAAAATAGGTAAAAATAAAACTATTTATTTCCTAATTCAGTACCAAGACACATTTATTTCCCGGTTCAGCAAGCCATAGTTAATAAAAGTTATGACAGCACTAACCCGTGAATGAATACAAATATGCAGGCCATCACAAAGCCAGTTATGAGGAAGCATATTTTAGGTCCGCCCAAAGCGTTCGAATGGGGTTACTGAAGTGACTCAGGGGCATTGCTTTTGTCTAACTAACGATCCCTTGATGAGTCTCACTTTTAAGAGAGTTCAAATTAATACATTATAAACTACCAGTAAGTGCGATTGCAGTTAGTCTGCAAACTGTGGAACTCCCTCCTTTCAGCAGTTGTTACAGGCCCAATCCCATGATACTTTTAAAAGGAGGTTAGACGCACACCTCGAGTCCTACGGTACCAATGGGCTGTACTCGAGAAGCTTTCCGCAGATCACATGCAGTAATACCAACTTGAGACCAGATTAATCAATAATCGTACCTCTATCCTTTTAGGTTTTTCAGAACCCGGAAGATAATTGTGACCATTTAAAACTCAGAACGTATTCCGATAAGACAGACTTAGAACCTAAGGAACCACCATCACTAATTCTGCAACAAGAAGTTTGAAGTTTGAAGTAATTAGTCTCGTGGTTACTGTGAGTGACTCGTTGGTTCCTTTCGATATTGCATTGATGGTTATTGAAGACTTTGTATGGACTTCTTAAGGCCTTGAAAAATGGGCTTCGATGTAATAAGCAGGCAGTAGTATATACTGCCTGAAGCTCTGCTACAAATCGCCGCCTTGCTCTCACGTGCTTCCTCGTTAACTAATTCAGCGAATTTATGAAAAAGCCTATGCTTGTCAAAATGTACCTATTATTCTCCACAAGGCATTCTGTATTCTTTAGCTTTGTTGATGACCACCGTGATGATGGCTGACCGCTGCCAAAGCTTACTAACATAATCGCTTCTTGCCTTATACCATCACACACTTCTCCAGAATCGATGAGACTCAACACTGATACTGACCTTGATAGGTCGACTGGACTCGCTAAGCTGAGGGCACCCGGTCAAGCATCCTTGCCATTGAGCAAGCCGTCGTGTTGCTTTGCACCTCTCATAAGGGACTCTTTAGCCGATTAGTTGAAAGGCATCGGTATCTTGGCACAACCACCCAAATATACTATTCCATCCGACCATCCTATTGTGTTAATTCTTGGTCTCGTATTTGTGGGTATATAACAAGTTCGAATGATTAGTGACTGGCCTTTGCGTCCGTCCTGTTTGCAGCAGAACATTGTCATAATTCTCATGTCTTTTGTGAAATTTTATGTCAGGATCTTTCAGACACTCCTCTAGCTGAATTCACAATAAACTGCTGGCAAAAGTTTCGAGTTCCACTCCTATTTTATTATCATATTCATGTTGAGGAGTTAATCACAGGTCTGTTGGCTTGAATCCACAAATGCAGCTTCATCGGCAGTATAATCACGACCAATGTAGGCTTAATTGGTCAGAATCTCAATAACTGACAGCAAGAGTTGAAATAATCAACTGTTTATTGTGCTGTTCATATTTTCACATGTGAAAATTGGCGAATTCTCTTCAGCTAAGTCCTAACCGTCAAAAAACAGTGATCCAGCCCCCTATGAAGGTCATTGTCTCTCGGAGTTTTCGAAGTGGCAAGAGCGAAACAGACTGGAAGAGGGGCCCCGAGGAAACGGCTGGCCATCAAAGCTGCTTTTAGAAGCACCCCCAGCCACCGCGGTGTGAAGAAGCCTCGTAGGTACAGGCCAGGAACTGTTGCCCTGAGTGAGATCCGTCGTTATCAAAAAGGTGGTTGCCCCCCCCCACCGGTTTGCAACACGATCAGTTAACAAGAACTGAGAGGATAACTTAAGGGAACTGAGTTCCTGAGCGTTATCCACCACTGAGAAGTTAGGGCTACCGGTCCCCTGGGTCCCGTTAAGCAGTCCACTTGTTTACAGGAATACGAAGCGTCTTGTTCTGGGGACTGGAAGACTTACCCTGACTGCAGCGTTCAGACCCACCCTTTTAGCATGCCGGGTCGAATGTTTATTAAGAAGGTAGTACAGAAGGAGTAAGAAATCAGGAAAATGGGACCTTACGGACAACTCAGTGCACGGAGCAATGGCCAACTTTTGTTTACCCCTGCGGCAGCCACAAGTAATCCAGTTTGTTGATGAATCGCCCCTATGTTCTGCCATGGTGCACATGATAAATGCCTCCCAGTGATTTTTATTTTAGCTTCTGGTGTATTTAGGGAAGCCGTCAGCGTTCCTTATTTTCGTCGACCGATCCTGTAATATCAATGGTTAAGCTACTCTGAGGGGAATTTTTTGTCTAGCATGTTATGGCGGTGAAACAGGTGACTACAAAGAATTTGAAAAACGACTATCTCAGCACCAACAAATGCATATCAAGCTCCAAATCTCGTCCTCTTTCATAAAATGGGGCGTTCTACATAACAAGGCTAACAGCACGATTTAGAAGGACAGTTCGTTGTGATGCTGAACCTGAGCGTCTGGAAGTAAACAGTTAAACTGATGAATGAACACATTGGTCTACTTCAGCTTTACCTTTGACCTGCGACCGTCTTCTTAAACGTGGAATTTTGATTGGCTGGTAGCAGTATGCAAATTCTGCACACTAGTGCTAGATACTATACCACTCAGGCTTTTCTGGCCCCAAGGAGGCGTCCAGCTACTTGAGGACCTTTATTCCTAGTACGTTAAAATTCAAGCGAATAACAGTGACGCTGGAAGTGACAGCTGAACCGGATTTGGACGAGTAAGATTGCGGTGGCAGGTGTAAGCAGACTTCCGTACCCATTAACCCAAAGTATTAAATGGCTGCAAGGACCCCTGGCTCGTATCCTTCTCTGCAGTGATGTGATACATGCCATTCGCTTTCAGAAGCGTTCAAAACTGTTGTGAAGAAACGGTACAGAGGCTAGTTTTCTCGCGGTTTGAAATATGGATTTGCTCCCATTTTACCTCATTTGTAGAGTGTCTCAACAAAGTGGAACTTGCCCTGTTCACACTGTTACTGCTGAAACTGCCGAGTGGCAAACAAGACATACATTTCAGTGGCTCAAAAACCCCAATCGGATCCAGTCAAGTTCACAAAACTCAGGCGCCTGAATTCCAGTCGCAAATCGGTTTGGGTTCCAACATCCTTTCTTGCCTCGAGAATATACCACTGCACCTCGACAAACGGACAATAAGAGGCACCGACTGTTGCACCTGTAGTTATTTAGTCACAGACGTTAAAATAGCCCACCTTAGGTTGAAGCATTCTTATCTCGAGCTAAAGGTTCTACCTATGATTGTGACTTGGCTGTCATGACAATGAGTACGAGGGGATTACTAGGGACGAGGTCGTGACTAAAGGAAGGATGCACTGACCACCTGTGTTAATAAGCAGTTAAGAACCAGATGAGCTGCTGTCGCTTCACTGACGAGACCTTTAGAAGTAGACCAATACCTCACTACCGCCAACCGCACGATGCACTTGGGTTAAACGACTGGTAGAACAGCTGTATGGAGAACAGGATGTACGTAGTGCATCTCTTGGTAGCAAACCTTGACAACGCTTAAAATGAGTGAATAAACATTGTGCTCTTCTGAGTACTCTTACTATCTCGCGTGTTTTCTTAGTTGTCTTTTTTGCCGGCACTTACACGTAGATGCGGGGCTGATTAGCCTGGCAATTGTGCATATCGATTTATAGCAGACTGACGGTGCTTTCGGTAATGATAACAGAATCAGCCACTTACAGTTAGCGCGGAGCGATATCATTCACTTAGAGTTTCATGTGGTGCTTATATTACTTCCGATTATTTTCATGGGCCATTACCAAAGATGACAGTTTCTGTCACATTCTTTTATGTCTTTTTACCTTCCATCTCCTTTTTATCATCTTGGCTTCCATAACGTGAAACACTTTAACTATGGCTTAAAATCAAGGTTCACCTGGACAGGTTGCCGTCCCCACTTTCTAGGCATCGTTACCACCACACTGGTTCCCTCAAGAGTAGATCAGCCGACAGGAAACCAAATGTAGCTTATTTATTTGCGGTCAGTTTTCCGGAAAGCACCTTTGAGGAAATTCCTGATATGCTTGATTACCCTGCTCCGAGCATTTATGGCCGTCTGAGATAGGCTGTCACACAGCTTGCTGCCCCATAGAGACTGAAGAAAACCTGCGGGAAATATTTGAGGATGTTCGCCTTAGTGAACGTAAGCCTGCCGAAGGGCAGTGTCAAGCGGAAAAGCCGGTTTTCAGTTTCAAGGTGGACCATGCCTTTCGTCAGCAACCATGAACCCATTTCTCTGGCAGTCATTTCGAGACGTCTTTATTCCCTTTT